CTGAACCTTCGTAATGCTGCAGGATGTACCGGCAACATGTTAAGAGCCTGAGGCCGGAACCTAATTTGCAAATTTATTTGCATATTTTTGAATAAAAATGCACACAACTGTAATATTTGCATCTGATAGTTGAACAGAACTCCTTTTTCAGTTCACCAGCAATAAAAACCAACAGCTGTCAGCTTTTTACTCATCCATCAGTTATAGGACAGGATCTAAGTGTGGGTCTTAGACACTTGATACAGATCAGTTGCATATAGCCGGATACTGCAATGGGCTGTGAGCCTTTACTTCCCATTGGCTCCACTGAGGCCATTAAGAACTGAGGGTGCTCAGCACTGAACCATGCTATTGTACCTTTCGGTAGTTAGAATGGAGACCAGGTAATTCTGGTGTCTGCTGACACTTTGGCTTCTTATTTTAATTTTTTTGTAACCATTTACTTTTTTATAAAGATGTATGCAGGAGACCCCTTAGAATAAGGAATTCAGCTGTGATTTGAAAACCAAGTTGTTAAAAGGGAGTGCAGTAATGTGTTTCTGAAGAACTACATATTATGGTGTAGGAAAAACTTAACCAAATGGTGATATAATCCTCCAGAGAAGTGTGCTTAGGTGATGAAGGGATTTCTGGCAGTAACTGAAAAGTACAGTAATGGGGATCTGCACTTGATTTCTTTTGAGGTTGATTCTGATATGTGTAGTCTTTACATCCTATTAAATTTTTGAAAGATAAACTGATACAAGAATGATTTGCCAGGGCCAATGACTCTTCCTCTTAAAACCTTGGCTCAGCTTATTCCCCCTCCCCTCAATATATAAGATAAAAGCACTGTGAATACGAGGTTAACTGAATTCAAATAGAAGACTCTCTCAAGTTATTGCATTCCTTAGAAAATAAATACATTTCGCATATGGTTAAGATTGATCAAAAAAGTATTCTGTATGCCAGTGATTACATTCCCATCTGTGATTAAGGTTTTCTGTCTGCATCTGGTTTTCACATTATATTTCTGTAACAAGAATCCTTTATATGGCAGAGTTCACTCTCTGTATTTTCTATTAGCTGCAGCTTGAACTACTGCACGGATCGCAGATTTACACATGTGGTTTTCATTACTTCATACCATTGAGAAAAAGTAATATTTGTTTGGGAAAGTATGTTTTCCACAATTTCCATGGTAATACAACATGTTGAGCCTTTTTAACAACACTCTTGTAGGACTACAAATTGTTTGAGGAATTCTGCTTTCAGTAGAGTTTAGCTTTCAGATCACTTTGCATGAACATTCTAGCAACAACAGTTTACAAATCAGGAGGCAAAAATATATTTCACAAAATATGTTCCCATGGCATAAATATATCAGAATATTCTTGTCACTTAGGAAAGTGTAGTGTAGCACATACAAAAGGGGAGTGTTAGGATAGAACAAAGGTCTAGTAGGAAGATAAACAATATTTTTTTACATACTGGATGGATAATGTGATTTTTTTTTTTGATTTTTTTTTTTTTTAAGGAAAGATACTCTAAGTATCTAAAATTCCTTTTTTTAATAGAGCAAGAATTTTAAAAAAATCTTTTCACTTATTCCTGTAACTATTACTTCATTCAGTAGTTCAATATACTAAGCTTTGTATATTGCATCAATACAACCATATTTGAACTTGTACACCAGTATTTATTGCAGCAAGGTTATAAAGATTAATGAAACTGGAGTGCATCCTTACACTGCTCTTTGGTGTATTGAATGTAAAGCATGATGGTAATTTAATGTTAAATTCATATTTAGACAGGAATTTGCCATACCTTTACCAAGTAGAACTTTATCCTTTGTAAAGTCCACTCGGTGTAAGCATGCTTATTGGAATCTGGTCCTAAATAAGCACCCCCCCAAAAAAAAAAACTTCACAAAATATTGTACACACCATGGAAATATATTTTGTCTTGATACTTTATAAAATATATCTAATTTATGTTAGAGGACAGTACAAAAGTCTACTTTTATTGCCTGTGTAAAAACTACAGTAAATACAGTAAAAACCATAGTGAAAAGTTTATCATCATGCACAAACTGAGGATCCTAGCCATATTTGCAAGATTGGTTTCAAAATTCCAATGGTGATCGTGTCATTAAAAGCTTAACAGTTGCTAGATTCTGGGTACAATCCTGCAGTCTTTATATGCATGTCATTTTAACTGAAATCAATGGGACTTTGGCTTCTGCTTGGGCTGCAGGATTGAGTCCAAGATTATGCCAAGTCAAACGAATACTATAAATGGTAAACTTCTTCATTTGCAGCCTTAACTTCAAAAAGTAAGGGCAAGTTCTTGATTTTTTTTTTTTAACACAAAAATTTATGGTTTCTGATTTTGATAATTTGTAAATGGCTTAGTTTAAAAATGTTATGTGGTCTGATTCAGTCTGGAAGGAAGGATAGGCTCAATTTGCAGTTAGATGCATACAATTGTGTCCTTGTGCATGTCTAACTTTTGTCCTCAAATACCTGATAATATGGGTGCAGTTTAAAGCATGTATGTCTGTGTGTGCCTAACTCTGAAAATCTTTCTGTCCTGTTATAAGGCCCTGTAAAAAAAACAGGAATAGCTTGGAAAAAACTGACAGCCTTAGCTATAACAACAAGAATCCCACATTATAACTATAAATTAATATTAATTATGAAGTCACTCAGCAAATCAGATGAGGATTGTTTTTAAAGATTAGCATGGGAGGGATTTGACTTTTCAGAGGTGAGAGGAAGAAGACCTTCAAAATTATTGATACCTTTTGTGATCTCCCATCTTCTGGGACCTACCTGCTCTTCTGTGACTTCTTAACATACAAAAGTTAGTGTAAGAAGAGAAAGCAGTATTGTGTGCTAGCATGTTAGTTTAAAAAGTGATGATTTAATTATTCTGCCATGTCCAGGTAAAGTATATAATATAATAATCATAACTATCATTTTATTTATTGAATACATAAGAATTGCCATTTTAGAATATGAGCAAGGGATGGGGTGCTATCGTGGAGGAATACATTCTGCCTTTGCTTGATTGCTGTCTATAGTATGGACAGCTGTACATGGGTAACTTAAGAAACAGGCTTTTCTTCACAGAGTTACTATATTTTTAAAATACTTCATTATATTAATTTAAAAATCAGAACGATTGTTTTAAAAAAACAGCATTTAGCTGTTCCTGTTAAAAAAGGCCTTTTATTATCATGCAAATAAAGGGATGTGGTGCTGCAAACTGGCTGTGATATGTGCTTCTTTTTTTTTTTCATTTGTTGTTGTCAATAGAAAAGATTGATCTCTGGGCTGGTGAACGTAATATCTGTCCCAGTCAGACAAGGAGAGAGGAAATTAGCAGAGCGATTGGTGGAGAATGATATCTGTCAAAAGAAACACTTGGAGAGCACTGAGTTTAGTGATAGGTGACTGCCGGAAAAAAGGGAACTTTGAATTTTGTCAAGGTAAGGAACAGACAATATTTGATTTTTGCAATTTACGTACCTCTTTATAAGCTATTTTTAATTACTGTACCTTGCCTTGTAATCTTTTTCTTTTTTTTAATCTTCCCCTTGAGCCTCCAAAGAACATAAATCAAACTTTGAGTTTCATATTGTTGATTTTGTTTTAATAGCAATTGTAGAGGAATCCAGGACCAAGTGAAAAAATAAGTTGGTAGTGTCCTTTCTAAGGCCCTGTTCACTCTACCAGTTCCGTTACCCACACCCAGAAAGGTTTTTACAACATGGATGCCCCCTTCCTGGTTACAACCTGGCTTTAGCTGGTCTGTAAAACATGGTAACTGCCCAGTTTATCCTATGAATTGAAACAGTGTATGGGTCAGTTGTGACAAGGTTTGCTGACATGATTATGTTCCAATGTAGACAAGGTCTTAGGTAAAGGTATTGTAGAGCATATCCATGACAGATTAAGACAGATAGTGAGTTCAGATATTTCTTTGTTTCTGTGTTGGACTGCTCTTTACTTTGCTTCAAAAGTTAACGTGCTACAGGCAAAACAAAACTTAGGTGCTAAAGTGGGAAAGTCATACCATGATTTTTGTGTTTTGTTGAAACTGGGATGTGTTGTTTTTAAAACTATTGCTCTAGATATCAGAGCAAATATTGTCTATTAAATGGAATTTAAGTAATTCTCAGCACCCAGATCTTTTCAAAATGGGAGTCCTTCCTGCTTGATATAAGTTAAATGTACATACAGCATAGGCCCAAATTCTACAGATCATTAGGCTAAACTCTCATGAGTTTTAAGCTTAAGCTATTTCAGTTTAATTGGAAGTTAACTTTTCTTACGTTGTTTAGCACAGTGTCCTAGCTACTGTTTTCTGTTCAGCCACAACTGTAGTCCTCTACAGTGAAATTTGTCCCAGTTCAGAAGGCCAGCAGAAAGCTCTGCACCTCACTTAAAACTCTTAAAGAGTGTGGAGGTCTTTGTATGTATGGGCTTGTGTGCAAATGATGAATGCATGACTTAAAAAGTAAATTTATTTAAAAAAAACCCTGAAGTGGAAGCCAGTCCAGTTCCTAGCTCAGTTTAAATCAAACAAAGTGCTTTTCAGGTGTTCCTGATTCACACAGCTAGTCTTGGAGGGGAATTAATTTTTCTTATAAGGGCTTCCTCTTCTATGTACTGTTGACTTTTTTGGGTCTATTTTATACTAAATTTGTATTACCCACTATATTTTTCCCTGATTTTTCTTCTGTGGTCTTTTTTCATGGTAGAAAGATATTTTTATATTTACTTTTACCCAATCAGTCTCATAAAGAATTTTTAAAACAAAGATAAAAATGAACAGTTTGATGCCTGAATCATGCAATGATTGTATGCCAATGGAGAACCTATTGTGGTTTATTACTAATACACAATATTAAAGATAAATGGAAAATGAACTGAAAATCACAGGATGTCAGGAGAATTAAGGTTTTTTAATGTGGTGTTGAGAGAGTGTGGCTAAAATTACTTAAGATCTGCGTGATCCTCTCTGAATGCCAGAGTCATGAGAAGATGACATGAATTTTGTTCATCCTCAATTACAGGCCAGATCAAGCCACCTGTAGAGCCAGTAGTTTGAATACACTTGCACGGTTATAAAGTTGCCTATAGCAATATGGCTTATTCCCCACACCATGCTGTAATAGCTGCTGGTATTGATGTATAATGGCATATAATTACATCAGCTTTAGCAGGTATTCTACCACTTTTATGATACCAGTATAATTGGTGATAGACGTTTTTAGCGTAGGCAGGGTCTTGGTTTGGTTTAAAGGTAATTCTAAGGCAGCTTAGTAGCAACTTACAAGAGAGAGTCCTTCATTGAAACTTTTCTGAGCAAGCTGAGATACACAGCCAGGAATGTCTGGAAGTTGATTTAAGGCTTTATATTCATATTGCTCTAGATACTGTCTTTGTGAAGCAAAAGCTATATCTGAAGCAAGCTTCATCCCAGTTATCATATATACGTTCTGTCCCATTCAGGTTGGAAGACACTTCCAAATAGCCTGAGGAAGGGTATAGGTTTTATTTTGGTTGCACATGAAAAAAAGATTGGATTGGTACTTCGGACCATACCTAACAAGAACGTCTGTGGTAACCCATGTTATACCCCAAAGATTTGTCTCTTTGGGACTGGAACCTAATGAAGGCAAAATAAAAGGTGGTGAAGTCCTGCTATAAGCTCCTGAATGATATCCCTTCCATTTTATGTTCTTCTATTTGGGCTAAAACACTTTTACTTATGATAATATATATCAACACCCTTGTTTTACTATTGCATTGTCTTTTATCTCTTTTATGATCTTTAAAATAGGCTTTTGTTTTGTTTTCTTAAATATCTCTAAGACTACCATTTAAATAAAAAGATTTAATATGTAATAGATGTACAGGGCTTCCTTGAGATGAATGTATTATAGATGCAAAACTGTCATCACACCCCTCAAAACCAGATTTTCATGTGGTGCACACCTGTGGCTTGTTGGCATTGTTCTTGATTGCAGTGTGGGAGATCTTAATGAAAAACAAAGATGGATGACAAGAAGAGGCTCCACAATACACATGGGTTATTCCACACATCATAAGAAAGTTAAATTCTAGATGTGTTGTTTGTGAGAGGCAGAATTATGATGAAGTGTGTGCGTATATATGGAAAATAAGAGTCCTGCTCATGACTCATAGCAGGCTTCCAAAGAATGCATTTTTCCCTATAGGTCAGCTTGATTTGGAAGTGGTGGGTGACCACTCTTTTCAACCCACTTTCTGAGCCAATGAGAAAATACTGGGCAGGAATCCAGCTTTTGAAGTACAAAGAAAATAACATATCTATATAAAACATTGGGGAGAAGAAAGGAAACTCACAGAGAAGAATTTAATATAAAGATAAACTGTGTTAAAAAGAGAATGCAAAGAGAGAATGTGTGCATAAAAATATGTAGTGTAAATGTAGTATTTGTGCTTGTTTATGGCTTTTATAGAAATTCTAATTTGTAAATATAGCTTTCAATAACTTGAGATTTAGAGATTGTTAGTTAGCTTTCACAAATTGGTATCTTTATTAATAAACTGAAAGAGTGATTTTCCTCAAGCAGAGATTCTCTTTTCAAAGCAATTTTCTGAGTTTGTAGAATTTGGTTTTATTTTTTTTCTCTTGGTAATATGCTAGGGCTCTTATAACATTAATGGGCTTTGCCCCACATGGAGCTCTGAGTGTATTGTACCACTGCTCACTGATCCCAGGTCAGTGTGATGCGTGAAATCAATTTATTTGAATCTCTTTGCCTGTATAGGAATTTGGCAGCATGCCAGTTGTTTTCATTTAATGTTCTTTGTGTTGAACACAGACAAGCAGGCATGCTTTTGTATTCCTCTTTCTTTTGGTCTCTGTCTTTCAGCCAATATTCTATTCCATGGATTTTTAGAAGTAGTAGGAATATGTTATTTATCTCTTAAAATCATTTTGTTTAAATATTATTTAAAGACCATGGAAACTAGGTCATTCACAAAGCAGTCTGTGCAGGGTATTTTTGTATAAGGCAGAATGTTTTCTGTGTACAGAAAACAGTTTTGATTTTATTAGATAATAATAGGGGTTTTTTTCTTTGTTTTTAAAATTCCTTTAGAAAGAGATGCAAAAAAGTTCTGGACTATTTCCCTAGGTCTATGCTTATCTCATGCTCTCGAGTGAAATCCACAATAATGGTTACATTGGAAAAACAATCATTTCTACAATATTAAACATTTTGGCAGTGATTTGAACAAATTAAACAACATACTTTTAAAAATCAGTTTTGGTTAGGATATACCCACTATAGGCATAAACAATTTGTTTCCTTCTCCTCCTTTCATATTATTTAACTTATGATCCACCTACTCCAGTAGTAGCAACAATAGAGAAAAAGCCAGGAGAATCAGAAAGTACCCATTTCCTTCTGTTGTTTTTTTATGGAAACAGCAAGGTGAGTGGGGGAGAGTACAAGTAATTTATCTTTTCTTAAAAAGAATAGCAGCAATACACATTATCAGAGGGGATTTGTTTTAAACCTAAGCACTGGGGGTGGGGGCTGGGGAGAGAGTAGAAGATTCTGTTGATGCTCTAGGCTGTTCTTGCGGAAGTTGATATGCAGAACCATGGAGCCGCAGCACCAGGGTCAGACTTGTACACATCAGCCCAGCTTCCTTGTTTAATTACCTGAAGAGCAAAACATCCAGGCTGAGAGTGTGTGAAAATCCAGTATCTCAAACAGCAGTTTGCTGTTCTGACATCCTGCAAGGCCAGCCCTGTCTGTGCACAAACGTCAGGACTGGTTCCTGACAGCAGGCTATCTCTGCCGGGCCTGGGTTCCTTTCATTCAGGAGGCATTGTGTGGAAGAGGGTTTGGTCAGGAATTTGAGGTTCCTGCCAGTTCTCCCAGCCCGGACAACACTGTGACAGATAGGCCTGATTTTTTTTTTTTTCTGTTAATAGATTAAAAAAAAATTGGCTCTTTTCAGTTTTTCCCTTAATTCTGGCCTTGGCATAACACTGACTGCAGAAGCAACAACAAAGTGCATTAACTGTTTCACTTCTAGGTTTACAGTCTTTGCCTTTTTGCCTAGATGTTCTTTCTCATCCCTTACCTTTAACAAATATTTTTTAGACTTAAACCCTTTAAAGAGTTACACATTCCTTTGACTGGGATCTGTGCTATAAACAAAAGCTCCTTGCACTAACCATTTGAATGTAGCACATAAGTATTAAATATGCTAGTTACATTTCATCTCTGAAGTGCTTTGCAGCATTAGATTTATTCCGTGTGAGAAATAAAAATGAACTGGGATATCTGTTTTAATGGTCCATGTCAGAGTAATGGTGAAAAGCTGTTGGCACTCCCACATGATACCTCAAAGTGTTCTGACTCTGATATTCCATTATAAAATACAACTTTGGGTCTAGTTTTACTGCCTGTACTTGTAC